GCAGATACCAGTACAAACGTCTTCACGCAATGCACAGATACGCAGATGCAGAAGTCTCAATCATCCTTAAGACTTAGCAACTCTTGAAGGTTGACCCGCTGGCCTCTCCAGCAAAAATACTTTGAGATCCCAGTCAGGATAAAATAGCTGTAATTTTTAACCAGATAATCATATCTGGTTAAAAATTACAGCTATTTTATCCTGACTGAATTACAGTGACTTATCTTTTATTATTTATGAATAATAAAAGCAAATCTTGCTTTTTATACAAGGTTATACAGTCTTCTCCAAACATATTTGAACAGCAAGGCCAATTCTTTTGTTTTTGCTATACTGTTAAAAATGAGAAGTCTGCTCAACTCAAAATGTTAGAGTAACTGAATACATGGCTTTTCTTGAACTCAAACTTCTTAATTGAGTCATAAAATCTCTTAATTTTTTAGTTCTGCACTAATCTTTCATACTCAAGTTCCCCACTAGCGATGACTCTTTCATCACACAATCCTAATAGACATTTTTCCTCTTGAGTGCACACTTACAGATGGCTACGGCTTCACTAGGGCTTAAACTCACAACCTCCTGTTGGGGTGACGGCTTAGTCCCCTGCCCCACTCAGGAACACATGAAGCAACTCAGATTTTGTGTCTACAAGTGTTTAATATACTGGAGAAAATATTTGTTGTTTTAACTTTAAAGCATCAGCTGTCCATATCTGGAAGCCCAAGAGGGAAACTGTCAGATGGGACTGTGTGATAGAAGGAGTGCCAGCTAGTGGGGAAACTGAGTAAAAACAACACAAATTCAATTTTGTTTATCTAACTGAGGTGCAGATCTAGAAACATAAGCTCTGAGAATTTGTCTCTAATGACTATGATTATTCATTGACTTTTGCAATGACAGCTAATAATTCTCTGTAGAGGATGTGTAAACTTATTTTCACTTAGAAAATCAACAAAACATGTACCACCCCATTTCCAAACAAGTTGGGATGCTGTGCAAAATGTAAATGAATGTAAAATGTAATGATGAGCAAATCATTTAAACCCTATTTATTTGAAAATAGTACAAAGACAACAAATTAAATGTTAAAACTGAGAAATTTTATTGTTTTTTGAAAAATATAGTTGAATTTGATGGAAGCAACATGCCCCAAAAAAGTTGGGACAGAGCAACAACAGGCTGATAAAGTTGTTTAATGCTAAATAAACACCTGGTGGTTGATTGGCAACAGGTCAGTAACATGATTGGGTCTAAAAGAGCATCCCAGAGAGGCTGAGTGTTTCAGAAGTAAAGATGAAGATGAAATAAAGATTAACTCTGTGCAACAATTCAAGAATAACATTTCTCAATGTAAAATAGCAAAGAACTTTTGCTTTTCATCATCTACGGTACATGACATAAAAGATTCAGAGAATCTGGAGAAATCTCTGTTTGCAAGGGACAAGGCCAAAAAACAGTATCGGCTAGTCAAGATCTTTGGGCTCTCAGGCGGCACTGCAATAAAAACATACATGATTCTGTTGTGAAATCACTGCATGGGCTCAGAAACACTTCTGAAAACCACTGTCTGTGAAAACAGTTCATCACTGCATCCACAAATGCAAATTAAAACTCTAAAACACAAAGAAGAAAAATTATATATAAACAGGATCCATGAACACTGCCACCTTCTCTGGGCCTGAGCTCATTTAAAATGGACAGAAGGGAGGTGGACAACTGTCCTGTGGTCTGACAAATCAACATTTGAAATTCTTTTTGGAAATCACGGACGCTGTGTCCTCCAGGCTAAAGACCACTCAGCTTGTTATCAGTGCACAGTTCAAAAGCCAGTATCCATGGTGGTATGGGGGCATTAGTGCACATGGCATGGGTGACGTGCACATCTGTGAAGGCACCATTAATGCTGAACAATATATATACACATATATATAATATATATATATATATATATATGTGTATGTATGTGTGTGTGTGTGTGTGTTGGCAATATATGCTGCCATCCAGACATCTTTTTCAGGGAAGGCCTTGATTATTTCAGCCAGACAATGTAAAACCACATTCTGTATGTGTTACAACAATCTGTAGTAAAAGAGCCCAGGTGGTAAACTGACCTGCCTGCAGTCCAGACCTGTCACCACTGAAAATATTTGGCACATTATGAAATGAAAAATACAACAAAGGAGACCCTGAACTGTTGAGCAGCTGAAATCCTATATCAAAACAAGAATGGGAAACATTTCACTTTCAAAACTACAGCAGTGTCTCCTCAGTTTCCAAACGCTTACAGAGTGCTGTTAAAAGAAGAGGTGATGAAACAGTGGTAAACAGGCCCCTGTCCCAACTTTTTTGGTATGTGTTGCAGCCATCAAATTCAAAATGGGACATATATTTTCAGAAAACAATAAAATTACTCGGTTTTAGCATTTGATACGCTGTCTTTGTACAATTTTCAATAAAATATAGGGTTTAAATGATTTGCTCATCATTGTATTTTGTTTTCTTTTACATTCTACACAGCGTCCCAAGGGGGACATGGGGTTGTAATTTGAACAGGATATTCAAACCCTTCCATATGACTGTATGTATTCAATTATTATTATTATTATTATTATTATTATTATTTACATTTACAGCATTTAGCAGACGCTCTTATCCAGAATGACTTACAAAAAGTGTTTTGCCTATCTAGAGATCTTTGCTAGTTACAGATAGGTTAGAGAGAAAGCCAGCCCTGAGCTCAGATACTGCTAGAAACAAAAACTCATGTTGATACCCAGAGAAAAAGGAACAGAGTTAAACACAGTGCAGTGCAATACAATACATTTCAATATGCACTTATTGAAATGTATTGTATTGTATTGCACTGCGCTGTACAATACACTACAATTAGTTACTTAACTCAGTGCTCATTTAAGTGCTGTATAAAAAGATGTGTCTTCAGTCTGTGTTTGAAGACAGCGAGAGACTCTGCTGTACAGACAGCCAGTGGGAGTTCGTTCCACCACCTGGGTGCCAGTACAGAGAAGAGTCTTGATGCTTGTCTTCCACACGTCTTGAAGGATAGCGGGTCAAGCCTAGCTGTACTCGAAGCTCGAAGGGCTCGTAGTACAGTTCAGGTTTTGACCATTGCCATCAGGTAGGGAGGGGCTGGTCTATTTTTGGCTTTGTAGGCATCAGCGTTTTAAATCTTGATGCGTGCAGCTACCCAAAGCCAGTGAAGGGAGCGCAGCAGTGGAGTGACGTGGCTGAACTTTGGGAGATTGAAGATGAGTCTTGCTGCTGCATTCTGCAGAGTGGCAGAGGCTTGATGGCCGCATAGGAAGACCAGCCAAGAGCGAGTTGCAGTAGTCAAGCCTTGAGATGACGAGGCTGAACTAGCACCTGGGTGGCCTCTCAAGTGAGAGAGGGTCGGATCCTCCGGATGTTGTACAGGAGAAATCTGCATGACCAAGTTAGGTTCGCGATATGAGCTGAGAACGATAACTGGCAATCCAGAATCACACCAAGATTTCTTGCCTCTTCAGACAGAACAATCAGAGAGTTCTCAAATGAGATGGCAAGATCATGATGAGGACCTGTAGTTGCAGGGATGAATAGCAGCTCAGTCTTGCTAGGATTGAGCTTCAGGTGAAAAGCTGCAATCCATGAAGAGATGTCAGTCAGACATGCTGAGATGCCACTGGAAACCTGTGTGTCGGAAGGTGAGAAAGAATGCATTAGTTGAGTGAATATTACATCAAGAGAACTAGTGTAAAGAGAAAAAAGAAGAGGACACAGCACCAAGCCTTGTGAGACACCAGTGGAGAGCCTGCATGGAGAGGATGTGGACCTTCTCCATGTTACCTGGTAAGAGTGACCCTCCAGATAGGACTTGAACCACTTCCACGCAGAGCCAGTGATTCCAAGGTTGTCCAGAAGAATTGTATGGTTGACCATGTCAAAGCTGCTGAGAGGTCAAGAAGAATCAGGACAGATGACAGTTTGGCTGATCTTGCTGACTGGAGCTTCTCAGTCACTGCTATAAGAGCAGTTTCTGTTGAATGTGCCGGTTTGAAGCCAGACTGGTTGGGGTCCTGGTGCTGGTTCTGTGTGAGAAAGAGAGACAGCTGATTATAGACTGCATGTTCAAGAATTTTTGAAAGGTAAGAAAGGAGTGATACCAGTCTGTAGTTGTAGACATCGGAGCTGTCAAGCATGGGCTTCTTCAGGATGGGAAGTACTCTTGCAGTCTTGAAAGTTGATGGAACTTCACCTGATGACCAGGACTTGTTAGAAAAGTGATGAAGGGCAGTAGATCCATGGAGATTGCCTGGAGCAGTGTGGACGGGATGGGATCCAGTGGGCAGGTGGTTGGATTACTGGATTTGATAAGTTGTAGGGCATCATCTGTGGAAAGAGAAGAAAACAGTTTAGGGGATTGAGAACAAGAGGATGAGGTCTAGTGGAAGGAGAGGAGACAGAGGCAAAAGACTGGCAGATTCTATCAACCTTCTCCTCAAAGAAGGTGACAAAATCCTCAGGAGTGAGAGAAGAGGGTGGAGGGGGAGGAAAAGGGTTGAGAAGAGAGGAGAAAATGCTGAAGAGCTTGCATGGATCAGATGCTGATACTACTACTAGTAGTAGTAGCAGTAGTAGTAGTCGCAGTAGTAGTAATATTAGTAGTATATAAACATGATCTTACAATTGATTGAAAATTTCATGATGAATGGATCAGAAGAAATGTTTGGAAGAAAATGTCTTCACATTAACTTACATTAAACATAAAAAAAAAATTGACCTTTCTCCTGTTAAGTTGCCATTTTGGAGATACTTGGGATATTTTGGACTGACAATATTTTTATAGGGGGTAATGAACCAGAATTTTTGCCCATCTTCTTAGGAACTGAGTATTAGAGGGTGGTGTCTAATACTTCTGAGGAAGTCAGTATCAGACACCACACCCTGCATCTGTGACCTATTTAAGAGAGCTCACAGACTCTGCCTATCACTGAAACCTGCCACACATCTTCCTTGAAGAGATTTTACACCTTTTTTCTGCAAACAGCTCTCTTTCCTGTAAGTGTCATTAATCTTCTTGATGTAAAGTTTGGGCACAATAGAGTTTTGCTTTAGAAATTGCTCTATTTTTTATTGCAGACTATAATGATGCTTTGTTTCATTTTGACTTTTGAATTTTGCTTTTTTAGCAGACTGAATAAACAGCAGTGAGTAAATAGAGCAATGTTAGTAACTCATATAACAAATACAGTCGTATGTAAAAGTTTACTGGTCAAACTACATCCTCTACAGAGGACAAACTTAAATATACAGTTTTTGTGCACATTTTAGTGCACGATTTATATTTATTTGCTGAGTGTAACATACTGGGCAAAAAAAAAAACATAAAATATACAATGTGTGTTTTATTTTTTCCCCAATATGTTAAGTTCAGCAAATAAGTAATCAGTATTAAAATGTTTCCAATAGAAGATAAACTTATGTTCACTTAGAAAATCAATAAAAACATGTATTTTGACCAGTGGTGCAAAGACTTTGCATACTTTTGCATGTTTACCTTTCTAATAAGTATGTAAAATTTCTGAACATTATTACTATATATAAATATGCTATATTACTGTAATCATTGAATGATGCGTCAAGAATAGTTATAAGGATTATATAAATGTTAGCAAATAATAGGCATGCATATAATTCTTAATTCATCTTTATGTATCAAGCAAGGAGTAACCCCACTCAGAGGATTATGAAATTAGCACTAATGATTGTCCAGTATGGGTCACTAAACCAAACAAATAAAAAAAGTGACCACATGAAATGAAACCAGTTGAAATGTATGTTGGTTGCACAGCTACTATTGTTGATTTTCAGTTATCATTTTTATTTTTGAGGTTGTGAAACTAATACACTAATCAACTCAAAAATTCTGATAAGCATGTTGTCATTTTTATTTTCCTTTCCTTTATTTATTTTCCTGTTGGAATGATGGAAAATAATAATATATAAGCTGTGTAAATATATTATTTCAGGCTTTAAAAAGCTACACCATGTCTTACCTGGTACCTATCCGTCAAATTGGTGGACGTGGAGGTAGCGCATTCAACTTCAATGGCACTGACAGTGGAGCAACACTGGAAAAGATAGGTGCGTGGGCAGGAGGCTGGCAGATAAAGTCCATCAAGATTTGGCTCACCAATGGCCAGTCCAGGCAGTTTGGAAATCCTGGTGATGGGCCTTACTCTGAATACACATTTAAAAAAGGAGAACATATCACCTCTCTTTCACTGTGGGGGAACGGAGCTGGAACCCGTCTAGGTGCCATCAAGTTTACGACAACTCTTGGCAGCACCTTTTTTCCACAGATGACCTCATGGGGCCTGAAAACAGAGTATCCCATTGATATCGGCTCTGGTATCTGCATGGGAGTCATTGGAAGCGCAGGTGCAGACATCGACTGCTTAGGGTTCATATTCATCAACACCATCAAGTCCTCTGTCCTTACCAACGTCGATTATCCCACGCTTGATGACATCATTCCTCAGGTGGCTGTGGAGGAGTTGAAATCCATGACTTACTCTAATAAAACTACTCTTCCTCAGGAGTATACAATAGAAACTACAAAGAAAATCATCAAAACGTCCTCCTGGTCAGTGACCAACAAGATAGAATCAACCTTCAATGTGTCGGTGAAAGCAGGAATTCCAGAGGTGGCAGAAATTGAGAGTGGATTCAGCTTCACAGAGGGAGTCGAATCTACACGCTCTCTGGAGAATTCTGAGGAAAAGGAGGAGAAGCTGTCTTTTCCTGTCAAAGTTCCTCCTGGAAAAACAGTGGAGGCGAAGATCACCATCGGCCGGGCTGTTGTAGAACTTCCATATACGGGTACAGTGAAGATCACCTGTTATAATGACTCTGTGCTGAAGTTCAACATCAGTGGAATCTACAACGGCCTCGCTTTCACCAAAGCAGATGTAGACATAACAGAACATAATGAAGCCTAGTCAGGCTTCCCCAGCAACTTAAAGAGAGAGATTTAAATGAGGGAAAAGATCTGAATAATTAAGCTCTTTCTTTTCTTTCTGATACATTCTACCATATAGTATAACTGTTGTTTGATTGCTTAGAATATATCATTAGCAATTAGAATGATGTATAAACATAATATCAGAAAGCAAGCAAGTAAAATAAGGCAAAAAAGCTGTCCATTCTTTTTAAGCATTTCTTTGCAGTGAAACTTGGATTGATTGATTTATTAGTGTTGATTACTTATTGGTTCATTGGTTCTTGGTTTCACTTTATGAAAGTATTAAATAATAATTATGTGACTTTATGTTCCCAAGTAACTTTACAGCAAGATTGTCCTCAATAAAATGAGATTTTCACTTTGATTCGCTTTATTATTTATGTGAACAATAACACACACACACACACACCAGCTCAACCCTGTGTGCGACAAACAAACCATGTTTTTATTCACATGGTAGAACAGAAAACAGCCAGTCTCTCAGTGTGAATAGCTTAGACATTTATCACCAGTACAATAGAATCAACCCTCCAAATAGAACAAAAAAGGTGTGCTGTAGATCTGAATAGTTCTGGGTGTGAACAGAGTAACCGTTCCAGTGGCATTTCCACATGGACCATGTGTTATCATTAGCTTAGCATGCTAACAGCTCTGCTCACCACAGAACATATTCGATTCTGGCTGACTAAAGCTGAGCTGATGCATGTTTACATGATAATGATCCAAGTCTGAGTCAGGTTGAAGATGTTGGAAGGACACAAAGCTGAAATCAAACCCGTTATGTCATTTTTGGGTCTGTTGCCTGCAAGCTAGGCTAATGCTAGCTGGCTCCTCTCCTCATGAGCTTAGCTAGTGGGCTACAGATCAGTGCAGTTTCTGACTAGTGGTCTTCTGTCCCATATGGAAAAAATACATATTCCAAATGTATTTATCAAATATATTTCTACAATATATGAAAAAAAGGCCAAAAATGTATTTGTTAAATATATTTTTTAATGTATTTATTTGTATTTGTTACTATATTTTTCAACTGTATGTAGTTTTAAGAAAGGTTACAGAAATGGTGCTGACTTCTGTGTTTTGCATTGTACTTTGCATTAATCACGTACGTCTGCAGTAAGACGCTCACACGCATTCCCAGACAGCAAGCATATATTGGTCCACTGGCTTGATAAGGTCAGCACCCGCTGACTGTTTTCCACTGCCGGTCCCTCGGACCACCCAGATTACTGTCCTGCTATAACTAGTTTTTAATCTCCTCAAAAAGATTTTAAATGCACAGAGACTTTTATTTAAAAAGAAATTCGACAAATTTTACAAAAAAACTGAGAAGAAAAAAACAATGACTAGGCCTGATATAAAATGATTTATTAGAAAATGTTGCTGATGCTGTGCTAGATTAAAATTATTTACTAAAGTATAGTACAAAGTAGAACTAAAGAAAGGAAGAATAGAAAAATCAGGAAATTAGACTGTGAGTGGAAAATGAGCGATGATAATTTTGTCTAATACTCTGCTGTACACTAGTGGGCCGCCCAGACAACAGTGGCCCACTGTCTTTCTGCTATCAGGGAATGTATTTCAAATAAACAAGATATCAAATCATAACTGCATTTTCACAATCAATATCTGCAATGCCTCCTTTTGCCATATTAAAGTTTCATTTGCTAATATTTAAAATTAAGATACTGGAATGCAAGTTCATTTCAAAAGGTATCAAACAGTAAAGTGCCTTAGACAGTATTCCGGCTATTTTCATACATTTTCAAACATATTTGAGAAACACATTTACATACATTTATTTTGTATTGTACATTTCTAGGTGTAATATTTCCCCATATGTTTTTAAATAAATGTATCATGAAATATAATTTGTCTAATAAGTTCTGAAATATCTTTTAGTGTTTGGAATGTGATTTGGTATGAACTGCAATGAATTGTATGTCAAATATACAAAAATGCATGTGTGTATATTTTTTCCATATGGGGTTACAACAGTAGATGACAAAAACAGAGAGAAAAGTTGAGCCACTGTTGTTGGAGTGACAGAAAACCAAAATCGAGCTATACTGCTGGGCTAAGCCAATGCTAGCTTAGTGCTGAAAGTGCCACCTACCACAGGCTCAGTTCCATGAACTGATGCTCAAATAACACACATTTAGAGGATAAAGAACCTGAGAGCACATTCAAGCTGATCTCACTACAGGATACTTGTGAGTCTAATGATAATAAAGCTGGTCTGACTTTCATTCTTATGGACAAAGCATGTAGTGGAGAGCGAATGTGCTGGGCTTATGATTAACTTGGATCATGAGAAGCAGAAAATGCAATGACCTTGTAAGACTGAACTTTGAAAGCGATGATCGTACATGCACATTTAGGATGATCCTAAATGAGACACCTCTTGCACACTGCTATTCAATCCTATGGTAACACTTTATGATGCATTAGTTAGTGATTTGGTGCTATTTAGAACCATTTTATAAAAGGTTCTTTAAAGGACCATGCACAACACACAACCACCTGGAAGACCTGGTAGACACCAAAACTGCCCCCATCAGATAAACAGCACTTAAAGCTTTCATCTTTGAGAAAGAGGAGAAAATCAAGCTGCTTCAGATCTGAAAACATCCACAGGTGTTTCTGTTTATCCTTCCACTGTGAGAAGACGACTCAGCGCTGTGGGTCTGAAAGGATGTGTAGCTGTCAAGAAGAACCTCACTGAGAAAAGCAAATAAATACACTGACATGGAAACATGGACAGCAGCTGGTCATTCCATAGAAAAAAAGTAGTATAGAAGAGAAGATTGTGAACAAGAAGATTTACAAACTGAATACTTCTTGCTAGTTTGATTATTAATGTCTTTTAATCTTTTATTCCATGACACCCACATGTGCAGCTTTTTAAACAATGAAACCAACACAAATCTAGAAATATAAGCATTGTCCGAATACAAAGCCTGAGCTACTAATGTTAGCTATGATCTCATTTAGCTGGTCTAAAATTACTTGGGATACTTGAAAATAATCTTGTTGCATAAATTAAAAAATATTTTTCCTTCATTTTGGAGAGGTTTTGCTCCAACAACATCAATAATTATAATTTATCTAAATATCGATCTAAGATTCTTTATTATATATTTAAATTGTGTTCTGTGCATGTTAAAAGTGTTTATATAGCAATGACGGTTCTTGCTCATCTCATCACAGCAAGAAGAACAGAAGTGCGTCTCACTCTCCCTTTCTGTAAAAGTTTTCATCATTTCAATCTCTGTGTAAACTTAGGGGGTGTCAAGAGACAATGAAAAATCTAGATATGTACATCACAATAACAGCAGACTAACAAAGAAGAATAAATGGGGCCACATGCAGTCAGCTAGCTACTTAAGCCAGCTGTTTACAGAAACGCTAGCTTTGAGAATCTCGTTTGTTGTTGCAGCTCAGGTAATTGACATAATGAAAAACTACCGATCTTGCAAAAAGTCGATCAGGTGGATCTCATTTCCAACCCTCCAGAAATGCTATTTTGCATTCTTCAAAATGCATTTACCTCACATACACTGTTAGTAATAAAGGTTCTGTTCAGGTACATTTTTCCTTCATCAAGGTACAAACAATGTAAATGTTCCCTCAAAGCTCCAACAGTGGTTTTAAGGTCTGATTGTGACCCTTAAATAAGTTTTTCCAGGTGAAAAGTTCGTATTTGCACCTTTTCATAACCGAATGTTTTAAAACAGAACAATAAAATAAAAGCCTGGAGACGAGACGGGGTGTGTGGAGTCAGTACAGCTTAGAACATATCATTTCAGTGGATTATGGTACAGTTATGTTCCCTGACTAAAGGTACGGAGATGTACCCATGAGGGAACCACCCCAGTGACAAGAGGGGAACTGACCCAGTGACAGTTTCATACATTTTTTCTGAGAGTGTATCAGGTCTTGTTTTCTTTCTTTTTTCTCTTAAATATTATTGTTCAGTCGTCTTCAAAGACTCATGTTTTCGTGCACCTTGCAAGAATCTGATCTGTCCCTCTAATGACCTGATGGTTCATTTTCTCAAGATTAATAGTCATGAATCTGTTGTGATTAATATTGGCTTGAAACTGTCAAAAATCTGGTCTTTGTAGATTAATAAATCATCAATGATCATGAATAATAATGATTATTGAACAATGATTATGAATAACAATGGTAAATGATCACAAATAATGCATGTTCTCTATACAGTGTCTACAAATGTGATTAAAGTTACACAAGCTATCTGGCTTATCAGTGAACAGTTTACATGCTTGTATGGGAGCAGCATATTGATTCACCGTGTTTCTCATCAATCTGAAATAAGTGGAGGAATGTGAGACTGTCCCCACCAGTTCAGACTGTATGCTCATAGGATCTGATATATAGCTGGGTGTTATGGTTATGGTTTCATTAGCCTGCTGTTGGATCTTTGTTCCCTGCAACTATATGAGTAGTTCCACCAGTAGTTAAAAAATCAAATGGATGTATTCTTTATTATTTCTACGCAATATAATTTGGAAGGAGAAGCCCCCTAGGGTATGATAACACCCCCCCTCTGCCTCCTTATATTATATCCTGGTCAAATAACGGAGTCAAATTTTGTGGCCTCACAACACCTTAGCACCCAACCCGGGGATACCACAGCAATGGCCTAACAACACCTTAGCAACCACCTCAGATACCATAGCAAAAGCCTAGCAACACCTGAGCAACCACCTGGGATAGCTCAACAATGGCTTAACAACACCTTAGCTACTAACTACCTGGGATACCGTAGCAATGGGCTAACAACACCTTAGTACCTGGGACAGTATAATAACAGCTCAGCAACATCTTAACAACCACCTTGGATACCCTAGCAACAGCCTAGCAACACTTTAGCAACCACCTGGAATTCCATAGAAACTGCCAAGCAACACCATAGCAACCACCTGGGATAGACAGCAATGGCTTAACAAC